CCTCTTTTTATTATTTACTTTAACTTATTCAGTTAAAATAAGTTTTTTTTCTTGGGAAAAAAAAGCTTCAAACAACCTCATTTTGGAGAAACAGAGACCAATACTGAACAGACTTAATGGTCCGGGGGGGGGGGGGGGGGGGGGGTAGTTTTAATGTGCTGATGCCATACTTTTATTTTTTTCTACTTTTCAATATTTTACTTATTTTTTTTCTTCTATCTTAAATAATTTTATTATAGTTTTTATCACTTTAACACACGGCGGTTTTATTTATTTTTTAGGTCTTTTCTGATTTTATTTTCTTATGTGTCATGTGACTGCTGTTTAATTATTCTGTGTACAGAATTTTGACCTTTTGGGTATTTAAAGTGCTTCATTAATAAAGCTGGTACAATACGGTATGATAGCCTATGATACGACACAATACGACATGATACGGTATGATATGATATGGTACGATAAGATACGATAGCCTATGATATGACACAATACAACACGATACAATATGATATGGTACGATACGATAAAATACAACACGATACGATACGATAGCCTACAATACGATACGGTACGATACGATAGCCTACAATACGACACGATACGGTACGATACGATAGCCTACAATACGACACGATAAGGTATGATACGATAGCCTACGATACGACACAATACGACATGATACAAAATGGTACAATACAATACGATAGCCTACGATACGACACAATACAACACGATACGGTACGATACAATACGATATGGTACGATACGATACAATACAACACGATACGGTATGATACGATGGCCTATGATACAACACAAGACGACACGAATACGACACAATACGGTACGATACGATACAATAAGGTATCATACGATACGGTACAATACGATAGCCTACGATATGACACAATACAACACGATACGGTACGATACAATACGATATGGTACGATACGATACAATACAACACGATACGGTATGATACGATGGCCTATGATACAACACAAGACGACACGAATACGACACAATACGGTACGATACGATACAATAAGGTATCATACGATACGGTACAATACGATAGCCTACGATATGACACAATACAGTACGGTACGATACGATAGCCTATGATACGACAATACAACACGATACTGTACGATACGGTACGATATGGCACAATACGATAGCCTACGATACGACACAATACGATAAGGTACGGTACTGTACAATACAATACAATAGCCTATGATATGACACAATACGACACGATACGGTATGATACGGTACACTATGGTACAATACTGTACGGTACGATATGGTATGGTACGATACAATAGCCTATGATACGTCACAGTACGACACAATACGGTACAATGCGGTACGATGTGGTACGATATGGTACAATACGGTACGATACAATAGCCTACGATACGACACAATATAATAAGGTACGGTACGATACGATAGTCTACGATATGACACAAGATGACACAATACGGTACGGTACGATACGATACCCTATGATAGGACAATACAACACGATACTGTACGATACGGTACAATATAGTACAATACGATAGCCTACGATACGACACAATACGATAAGGTACGGTACGGTACAATATGATACAATAGCCTATGATATGACACAATACGACATGACACGATATGGTACAATACGGTACACTATGGTACAATACGGTACGGTACGATATGGTATGGTACGATGCGATACAATAGCCTATGATACGTCACAGTACGACACAATACGGTACGATATGGTACAATACGATAGCCTACGATATGACACAATACGGTACGATATGACATGACAGACTATTATATTTTCATTTTAAAATGAGGTTTTTGAGGCCATCTTTCATTTCACATGTTGAGGGTTTTCTGGAGACCCAGAATTTAGCCACACACAGGACTTAAATATATAAAAAGATATTTATTTAAAGGAGTAAGGGTTTGGGCATGAACTGGGTCTCTGCAGCTAAGTACTGTTGGAGGAGTCAGCATAGCAGGAAAATGTAGCAGAGACAGGGGAAAACATTGGTTTAGACTGGGGAGTTCCCAGGATGTTCCTTAGACAGAAAACTCTTCCTCCTCTTCTGTCTGTGAATATGTCTCCTCTTTAAACAGGAGGAGCAGACTAGGATCAGAAGCCGTGGTTCAAAGCAGGGTCGGAGTCCAGAGGTCAGAAAAGCAGTCAAATCCTTTAAGGGCTAGGCAGAGACATTCCAGGAACGTGAACGTGGTACACAGCTTGGTAGATCAGATCGATGAAATGCTGTGACAAAAGGCTGCAGTGAATCTGGCAGAGAAGCAGAGATCACTGAGGGTTTAAATAGAGGAAAGAACAGGTGTGCTCCATGAAGTAATCAGGCAGAACTCAGGTGAACTAGATGATGCTGATTAGTGCAGGAAGGGCAACCAACATGACAGGCAGAATATGAGGAACATGAATCATTATATCACATGTATATTTAGATCTTGAAAATAACATCACATCCAATTTTGCAACATCTTGCATGACCTTTTAGCAACCTCAGTGTTGAAACAGACTTTTAGCTACGACCACATGAAATTTCAGCCAAATTGACGGTTAAACACGTGTGCACACTCTAACATCCACCATATTTAAAGCAGTTCATGTAGAATTTATAAGCTAATCCATCATGACACGGTTGTTTACATTGATTTATATGAATGTCTGCAGCAGAAATTAGATGTCGCTGCTGTTCATTTTAACACACGTTATACTTGAACTCAAGTGTTGGTTGTCTCTTCGTTCAGCAGGACTAATTGGTTTCTCCAACCTGGGATCATTCATTCATTGACAGTCATTTAGATTTTTGTCAATTTTCAAAATAATGATTTTGTTCTACTTGTTTTACAGTTTTTGGGACCTCAGAGCAGACAAAATAAAATCGAGTTCCCAAATTTGACTGATTTAAACTACAAACATTTACTCCTCCAGTCAGACCACCTGGTCCGTAGCCTGTAACCATCTGATGGCGTACGTGGAAGTGTTGTCTGAAGGAGGACTAAAGATTTAAAGGAGGAAGTGTTAACTCATCACGTTTTGGTTTAAGCTCAGAGTAATTTTGTCCCGGATGTTCCGTTTCCACACAGAATGTCTTTGTTAGTCTGGGAAATGTCGCATGTCATAAAGTCACCAAAGGTTAATGTCAATATCATTGCTGATTCACCAAATGTGTGTTTATACTAATATTCATGTGTTTACACAGTTTTCTGAAGCGTTTTAAGAATAAAAAACAGATTCAATCAGGCTTTGATTTTTACAGATGATAAACTTTTATTCTGTAGAAAAATTATCTATTTTTCATACAGATGACAAGTTTTTAAGATCAGATTTATTAATTAGAAACTACAAATGTAAAATCTGAGCGATCATCATGAAGCTACTTGACTTTATGCCACTAGAGGGCAGCACACAGATGTGCAAAACAATGAAAACATCACCCTAACAAAAGGAAAAACTATCTAGAAGACTTATTACAACCACTCAATAGAATAAAATAAACCATAACTTCAGAACAACATCTCTGAAGCACTCCACGCTCCAGATGGACTCCTACCCTACGACAGTAAAGCTGAAACAATCCATTTAAGGGTTTCACGCAGATTGAGATTGAGATTTTTTTTAATTACGGGGTGACGGTGGCACAGGAGATAGGTGCTCACCCTGTAGTTTGTTGTTGTGTCCTTGGGCAAGACACTACACCCCCTTGCCTGCTGGTGGTGGTCAGAGGGACCAGTGGCGCAGAGCCGTGTCCAGGACTTTTAAAATGGGGTGGCCCATGTGGGGCACTTGTTTATTCATGGATGGCACCAATGCCTATGCTTATTTATTTATTTACACAAATCATTTATTTATTTATTTACTTTCTAGTGAATTTTTGAGTTTTACATTGCACAATCACCATTTTTTCTTCATCTTCTACTTTTGTGGTGGTTAGAAAGTCACTTCTTGTTGCATTACGGCCACCAACTGGAGTTGAGTGGGACTCCAAATATTATGTATGTGAATATGAAAAAATATCAAATAATACTGATACTACATGCCTGGGCTAGAAAAAAAGGTGAAAGGTGCATGCAACCACACACTATTTCGGAGTTTACAACCCAAGCCTTTTGTCGACAATGTAAAGTCAATTTAAACTGGAACTTAGTGGGGTGGCACCTGGGGTGGCCAATCAGATTCTAAGGGTGGCATGTGCTACCCCAGGCCACTCCCTGGACACGCCCCTGCGGTGGCGCCAGTGCTCGGCAGCCTCGCCTCCATCAGTGCACAGGGCAGCTGTAGCTACATCGTAGCTCATCCCCACCAGGGTGTGAATGTGTGTGTGAATGACTGATTGTGCTGTAAAGCGCCTTGGGGGGTTCCAGGACTCTAGAAGGCGCTATATCAAAAGCAGACCATTTAAATTTAATTTTATTCAAATGTTATTTAACTTGATCTGAAATGTGACTCGTTTTTAGTCCCTTTTTTCTGCAGAGACCTGTTGCAACATCCAGAGGTCACAGCTGCAAAAAAGGAAGTTGTTGCATCATTTAAATGTTTCTGAAAAACCGCTGAAAAGATGAAGAAATGAAAAACTAATAAAAAGCAGACTTGTTGGGTCTGAAGACTCACTTCCAGGATTTTTGTTTCCTGTCATCTTAATAAATCAGGAATAAAAGACGCTCTTTGCTGCAGGAGGGAATAAATTTGATCAAACACCAATTTCAGGGCTGAGGAAGGAACAAGTTTGAGGCGGTGGTGAGGACAAAGCAGTTTAGATCTGACGAACAGGATTTTGTAGAAATTAACACACCTGTGAGGCATTTTAAATGTTTTTCCGTGAGTTCATCTGAGCTGTTCAGAATTAAAACCTGGTTGATTCGGTTTCTCAAAGTTCAATAATAGTTTTCAAAGCTGATTCAATTCAATTCAAAAATACTTTATTAATCCCAGAGGGAAATTGATTGATAATGAAACTGTTGCCTGATCTGTGAGTTGGCACATCAGAGAGAGGGATGATTAAAGAACGACGAAGGTTTAAAAAGAGAAGCAGACGTGCACTAGACACACACACACACACACACAGCGTCACTGGTAATAAAACCAGAGTCGCACCACGAAGAAACTGCGAAGCTCTGCAGGAAGTTCCATTTCTGTCTTTTTCTTTCAGCCTGAAGCAGCGAACAGGATCAGTTTGACTCCTGCAGGTAAGAAATAATCCGCCTTTTATTACATTAGACAATTAAAAGTAAATGAATGTTAGACCATTAATTCTTCATTCTTAAACGTGTTTATCTGAATATGTTTGAATGATGGAGGAATCTGATGCTCTCTGAGGGGGTGTCCTGCTGCAGTGTGGCTGAAAAGAAAGTTTAAATGATCGAAAGAGTTAAATGAAAATAAAATAAGACCAACTTGGGACATTTTTTACATTTAATTAGCTACAAAAGCTCTATGACACGTTTATGCATGAATATGAAAATATTTCATAAGACTGTGGAGGGTTGGGTTCTGAAAACCAGACGATCAGAACCAAAGCAGGAAATGGGTTTAATGGTGAGACGGTAAAAACGTGACTGTTGATCTTAAAGCAGAACCAGGCAGAAGTGGAACTGGAGACAAAAGGACCAGACGACTCAGACCAGAGTCAACGAGTGCAGAGGGGCAGGTGATCCAGATCAGATAGTCAGAGGAGACCACTGAAGAGGAGGTAAGTGCAGACGTGCAGCACCTGGAGTTCTGCAGGACCGGGGCGGAGTGCTACAGGAATAAAAACGAGGAGGGTTCACCACGTTTAGAACTTTTTTAAAGGGCTAAAAGGAACAGCCTGAAAAGTTCCAAATCTGCCCTTTTCTCTACGTTCAGGGCGGCTTTGTGGAAAACAAGTCAGACTTTTCTGAATCATTAAAGAGATTTTAGACATTTTTTACTTCTTTTAGCACCCCCTGGTGTTCGTTAGTGAAACCAAAAGGGAAACTTATCTTCTTGCTGTGCGAGCTTCATCTGCTGAAATGTCTCCCAGCCTTCATTAATGTCTACAGGAGCGGTTCATCGCTAAATCAAGCAAATCAGCTGTGTCCATGATATAAAACATGCAGGAGACGTGCTGTAAGCATCCCTAACAGGGATGGGACCGGCACTCTGAAGTCGCAAGTGTGATATTCTGGCCACAAAAGGCATTTTAGCTCATACTGGCTCAGGAAAATGATTTAAAACCATTAAAAAGATGCAAAAATCGCCTTTAGCGCCAAATAAAGTGTCTGTTTATTGGTAAAAGCTGCTGGATCATTTACAGAAACATTAAAACCTCCAACCAGACCTGACCCAGATCTGGAAATGTGAAAATAAATCGATACGCCTCCACGTCCAACAATCGTCTCAGATCTTCTGCTTTTTCCTCACAGATATTGAAACCTTTTCTGGTTTGTTTTGATTTGCTTGGTGGAGCAGCTGGTTGCACTGTTGCCCCACAGCAGGAAGGTTGCAGGTTTGAATCCAGGCTGCAGCTTTTCTGGTTGAGTTGGTGTGTTCTTTTCTACTTGAGGTGCCGTTGAGCTGTGGTTTGTCCTGAGATGAAAGACGGCTTTTTTCTTTTAGCAGCTTAAGCTAAATGTCCCTCAGTGGTATTTCAGCCACTTCCTCTTAATCATTTCCTCTGTAATGAGGTTTAAAGTTCAAAATGCTCTCGTCCTTCTCTTCTCCGGCTTTTTAAGGGCTCTGACTAATGACTGGATACTGAAGTGTTACGTTAGTCAGAAGTGAAATGCCTGCTCTGTGGTTTAGGCGTGACTCTGGTGGATTAAAAAAGTTGTTGTTCCACAGAGAAGATCAGAAATAAAGATGTTCTGTTTAAAATCGGCCCAAACACCCAAAAGCATCAACATGGAGGTGGAAGATAGTTGAAGTTACAGCTTGTTTTCACTCGAGGTGATTTTCAGGCTCAGTGACGTCATGTTTCAGTTCAATTCAATTTTATTTATAAAGCGCCAAATCACAGCAAGAGTCGTCTCAAGGCGCTTCACATAATAAACCTTCCAATCCGGGTCAGTTCATTAAGCCAATCAGAAAAAATGTTTCCTATATAAGGAACCCAGCAGGTTGCATCAAGTCACTGACTATACAGCAATCCTCATACTAAGCAAGCATAAAGCGACAGTGGAGAGGAAAACTCCCTTTTAACTCATTCACTGCCAATGACGACTAAAGTCGTCATTTGCATTTTTTTACTGTTTGAGCATCGGAACGAGCCCCCGCACTGAGAGAACAAACATCTCAGCCCTGAAGCCGATCTTCATCCTCATACGTCACAGATCACATGATCACATCCATGTGTTTGGAGATCGTTTTGGGCCGTTCCTGTAAAAAAAAGTGAGGCGCAAACCGGAAAAGCTTCTGCCGATCACAATTCGACAACAGATTATAAAAGAACGGATAATGCTCGAAACACGTGGCTTCTTCCTGATGCAAGAGGTGAGTTTCCTCTTTGTTTTGGTTGTTTTGGCATCGACATCATGCTAGCGCGCAACGTTCTGTGACTCTTAAAAAAAACAGTAAAAATGGTGAGAAACGCTGGCAGCGAATGAGTTAACAGGAAGAAACCTCCAGAGGATCCTGGCTCAGTATAAGCAGCCATCCACCACGACTCACTGGGGATGGAGAAGACAGAGCACACACACACACACACACACACACACACACACACACACACACACAGTTAAACCCAACTGATTTAACGTCTCAGAGACACTTCCATTTTGGATTATCAGAAATCACGGACAGCATCACAAATTCATATTTAAGCATTTCACAGGAATTAGAAAGTATTCAAACTTTTTCAAAATTCCCACAATGCAACGCTTTAACATGGCGCTTGTAGCATCCGATATCAGAATAAAAGTGAACTGTGTTTTCTGAGATGAGTGAGATGAACGTTAATGCGTCACACGTGTCTGATATACGGGCTTAAAGAGGTCATTAAAGCTGATTTAAAACTTGTAAAGTCTTCCTGTTGTGTCCTCAGATTTGATTTCCTTCCTTTTTCCTCACAGAAGCTCTGAATGAAGTCCTTCTGAGAGCTCCAGGAGCAGAAAATAATAAACCCCCTTTAAACTCATAAAGAGCTGCAGGTTTAATCAGATTCAGATCAAAGGTTTTGTTTTTTTTTTACTTTTTTTTTCTTTTTGTCTTTCGAGGCCGAGTAAAAACAAACGTTGTGAACCACGTTTGGGTTAAGCAGCAACAGTTCAGTTTCAGGTGTTTTCCAAATTTTCATTTAAATTTTTCAGTTTGATCAAGTTTAAAGTTTCCCACAATAGGAATAAAATTTACTTCTGTTGAAAATCAATAATTCAAACTCTGAATAACAGTTTCTCTATAATAAATGTGTACTCAATATAAACAGGGATGCTTCATATCTGACATATGGATATTGTCTGACTCTTAATTCCGATACTGATGTGTGCAGAGTCCCCCTCATAAAGACGACGGTTACTAACATCACATCTCCCATCACACGTGCTTAAACTTTAATCATTTCCTTTGCAAAAAGACTTCAGTCTCATTCATCCAAAGCGTGACACTGACATGTGTTTATTAGTCGGAAATGCATTTTATCTTTTTGTGTATAATGAAGTTCCATTCATCCATTTTCATCCGCTTATCCGGAGTCGGGTCGCGGGGGCAGCAGCCTAAGGCGAGAGGCCCAGACTTCCCTCTCTCCAACCACTTGGGCCAGCTCCTCCGGGGGAATCCCAAGGCGTTCCCTGGCCAGGTGAGAGACGTAGTCCCTCCACCGTGTCCTGGGTCTTCCTTTAGGTCTCCTCCCGGTTGGACGTGCCCGGAAAACCTCACCAGGGAGGCGTCCAGGAGGCATCCTGACCAGATGCCCGAGCCACCTAAACTGGCTCCTCTATGTGGAGGAGCAGCGGGTCTACTCCGAGCCCCTCCCGGATGACCGAGCTTCTCACCCTATCTCTAAGGGAGAGCCCAGACACTCTTCGGAGAAAACTCATTTTGGCCGCTTGTATCCGTGATCTCATTCTTTCGGTCACTACCCAAAGCTCATGACCATAGGTGAGGGTAGGAACGTAGATCCACCGGTAAATCGAGAGCCTGGCTTTCTGGCTCAGCTCTCTCTTCACCACGACAGACCGGTACAACGCCCGCGTCACTGCAGATGCAGCACCAATCCGCCTATCGATCTCAAGACCCTGAGATACCTAAACTCCTCATCCCTGACCCGGAGAACGAAGTTATGCTGATCAAAACGATAACGATCTTCAGAAAAGCAAGCCTTGGGTGAAGATTCTTGCTTTAGTTGGTTGTTAGCTGTTAGCTACACAAAGCTACGTGCTGTGAGGACTGAACTGTCTTCTTCACAAGTTGTGTCAAATAAACAAAAATATTTATAAAACTTTACAAAGGATCTGGTATACACTGGGATTTTAAGCCAGAGAAGAACTAGCTGAAATTCGTGTTTGTTATGTAAAAGTCGTGAAAACTGACGGCGACATTTATTGGTGTTAAATTTTAACGCCGATATTAATGGTGGACCAATAATATCGAGCATCTTTAATTATAAGGAACAAAAGTATCATATTTAATTATAAACTCAAACTTTATTTAATCCACTTTATCTCAACAAAAAAGTGCATTACGATGGAGACACATCTGTATGGATGGTGTCCAACTCCAGCTGTCACCAGGTGAGTGGAGGACACCATGGACAGGTCTCCTAAGGATTAAATCCTTGCATGCATGAGGAGAACATGCTAGCTCTGTGCAGAAAGGCAGCAGCCGTGATTCAAAGCAACAGCGCTGCTAGCTGCGTTGCCATGCGGCTCAAAACAACTTCATATTCTATCAATGATGAAAACTTTAAGACATTTCTTGCAGATTTATTTGGAGTTTAATGATCTCTCTGGATTTTAGAGTCATGCTGATTTATAACTGTGACTGAACCCATTTCTTATCGGTGTGAGAAGGAAGCTCCATCTGCTTTCTGCAGAGCTTCTGCAGCTGTTATCAGATTAGCATGAGACCAAGTTTCTGTTAAACGAGCCAATGACAGAGAAGATAAGTCACTTTTCTGAAAAGTTGTCAGTTCTTCATCATGTGAAACAAAACACTGTTACCTCAGATTTACAGTCCTCTGAATCGTGTCAGGGTTCAATCAATCAATTTTATTTGTTGAGCACCTTCCACAACGTTATCAGAAGCCCAAGGTGCTGAACTATTGTGTGTAAAAAAAAAAAAAAAACAATGAGATTATCATTTATAAAATCATCTTAATGTCTACCAGCACAATTTTGATTGTACTGCAGGTTAAGGACATTGAGTTGTGCATTTTAGGACTTATTCTACTTTTTATTTGTGCTTAATTTGAAAGTTTTAAGTTTTATGATCAATTTGGTAAAATAAAGGAAAATAAAGCTGTAAACAAAGCACTGTGGTAGTGTCGGGCCCCAAGCTTACAGCACCTGGTATTCCCATGTGGTCTCCCATCCAAATACTGACCATGTCCAACCCTGGATTGCTTCCAAGGTCAGATGAAATTGGGCTTTTTCAGGGTGGCATAGCCATAAGCATGTAGCCACAGCTGCCCTGGGGCACCACCGGTCTCTCTGACCACCACCAGCAGGCAAGGTGGGTTAAGTGTCTTGCCCAAGGACACAACAGCAGAATTCTCTGTCCGGAGCCGAGATCGAACCTGCAACCTTCCGAATACTGGACGACCCGCTCAACCTGTTGAGCTACTGCTGCCCCTGTTTGATCTCAACTCCACTAACTTTTATTTTATCTAAGTTTGAAGGAAGCCAGGACACCGGTGCCGTCTCATCCCCTTAAACATGAACTTCCTGCTCTTGTTTGGCTCAACACGTTAGTCATGCTCATCTCTACCTTCATGCGTCATTAATCATAATGAAATTATAATATAGCCATGCAGCTCATAAGTTATGCACAAAAATAGCTCCAGATATGGATGATTGATCGGCCACAGAGAGGAAGCCGTTGCATCAAACAGGAAATCTAATCTCCAGATAAGACCGGCGTTTCGGCCTCTCTCTGTCATTTCTGACTCAGAAGTGATTCAGAAGTTTCTGTACACGAGGACAGAAACTCAATTCTGTTATTTAAAAAATGTGCTTTTCTCTTTAGATCCCAAAAGGAAAAATATTTCCTTGTTTCAGTTTGAGTTGTGCAGCTTCTTCAGTAAAACAACAGAGAGAAAGTCGCGCAAAGTAAATTAAATCAAATAAAACTGAATTTTAAGACAGAGCAAACCGACGTCCCGTCCATGCAGCAGCCGGCGATCAACAGAAACACACAAAATTATCTCGTTTATGGATTTAAAGCGAGGAATCAAAGCTGCTACCTGATGGGATCAAATAAAACTAAACTAGAGTACATTTCTAAGAAAAAGGAAGTTTCTCTCTTTTGTTTTCAGACTCTGTTAAATTGTTTTCTCTTTTTCAGCTGCACAATGGTTTCCAATTCCTCTCTACCCCCTGCTGTAATCGAGAATTCAAAGGATGACCAAACGAAAGTGGACGTAAAGGCCGTGATGGAGCAAATCAGCATCGTCATCTACACGATAACCGTCGTGTTCGGCCTCACTGGAAACTCTCTGGTGATCTGGGTGGCTGGATTCAAGCTCAAGGTGAAAATAATGATTTTTCACAATAATTATACATAACAATCTGTATTTCAGGGATGACTAGGTCACTTAGAAGTTCGGAAAAATTATGAAACCAAAAATTAAAGTTTTCACTTAACTTATTTGTGGGAAGTTGCTTTTCAAACATGCTCAGTGGGTAGTTATTCATCTGTAGTTGAGTAAAATCAAAACAATAATATTAATAATAATACTAATAATAATGATCATCATAAGGACTATTAATTTTCCTTAAAATCCTTTTGGAGGACCAACCAGAACGACCCATAAATTATCACTATCCAGACAATCATGGTCCAATTAGTGTTCAATATCAAAAACTGAACCTGTAAAACGAATCATCTGTTAGACTTGTTAGACATACTTGAGTGTCATCTGCATCAAAACTCCATGCTGGTCAAGAGAGAACATGAAAATGGGAACTGAACAGGGCTGAGGACTCATCCCTGAGGTACACCACATACCAAACAAGCCATTAACTTCAGATAATGGAAGATTTGAGCAGCAGAACTAAAGGTGATGCTTAAATCGAAAAGTATTAAAACTGAGCTCAAAGGAGAATGAACTGTTTCTGTCTAGTTATCTAACCCGCTGGCTGTACTAGCATGAACGTTAATATTAATGTTAATAATAAAGCGCAGCAGGAGGAGGTCATAACCCCTTTCTAATCCTGGGAGGGAATTTTTGTTGAGATAATAAAAGAGACAAAATTAGAAAAGTGGAGACATCTCATCATCATTTTCCCAGAATAAGGAGGAGCTGTTAGTGACAGCATCACTTTTTTTTTTTTTTACGGTATTCCAGGGGCGAGGTCGTTTCTGGATAAGAACTAAAAGGTGTTCTGATAAACCAAAGTGTGGGTTTTTATCGTCTTTAAAGAGAGAAACCATTAGACCACATGTGTGTAACATGTAAAAATAAGCATAATTGTTTTATTATTATTGTGATGATGAACTATCAAACACATGGCGGCCCTTCTGCTCTCTTCTTGCTTCCCGTGACACCTCCAGTGGTCTAACCGCCTTAAAACAAATCAGCTTGATGCATCTTTACAAACTATTCTGGGAAAACCACAAAGCTAGGTTTGTGTGAAATTGTTCCAGGAGCTCAAACATCTTTGTTTCCTGCTCTTTTCCATCCAGAGGAAGGTTACCAACGTGTGGCTGGTGAATCTGGCTATTGCAGACCTGATCTTCTGCATCACGCGGGTCTTCTCCCTCACTAAGAAGCTCTTCTTCGACCACTGGCCCTTCGGCGTCTTCCTCTGCAAGTTCAACAGCTTCTTCAAGTATGCCAACATGTTCTGCTCCGTCTTCCTGCTGGCTATCATCAGCCTGGACAGGATGCTCTGCGTCTGGAGGCCCGTCCTCACAAAGCGACACCGGACCCTCTGTGCTGCCAGGGTGGTGGCGCTACTGGTTTGGATCACATCCATCCTCTTCAGCTCTCCCTTCTTCATCCACCGCCAACTCTACAAGGAAAACAACAAGACCAAGTGTTCTCTGAAGGTGAAGGAGGAAGACGTGACCATCAAACACGCTCTCTTCATCATCCGCTTCCTGTGTGGTTTTGTTTTTCCCTTCGTCGTCATTCTCATCTGTTACGTCGTGGCCGGCATCGGCATCAGACGCACACGCCTCTCAGGGAAGTCCCGCCCCCTGCGTATTCTGGCTTCACTGGTCATAGCGTTCTTCCTGTGCTGGGCTCCGTACCACTGCTTACAGCTGGTAAAGATGGTGGACAGCGAGAACGCCGTGCTGAAGGTCTGGCAGCCTTTAGCCAGCAGCTTGGCCTACTTCAACAGCTGTGTGAACCCGCTGCTGTACTTCTGCATGGGGATAGGCATGGGGGGGCGCTTCAAGCAGAGCATGATGAGCATTTACAGGAAAGCTCTGGCTGACGATGGGGAGGGGCAGACCACTCAGTCCAACGAGCGCTCTTTGGAAGAAAGCGTCGCCTCGAAACACAATTTGTCTGTGGTTGCAAATCCTGCTGTGGTGTCAGAAGGAAGTCTTTAGGGGAGAATCGGTCTTCCGCGGGCAACGGTGGCACAGGAGTTAAGAGCTCGCCCCGTGATCGGAAGGTTGCAGGTTCGAGCCCCGCTCAGTCCGTCGCTGTCGTTGTGTCCTTGGGCAAGACACTTAACCCACGTTGCCTGCTGGTGGTGGTCGTAGGGACCGGTGGTGCCAGTGCTCTGCAGCCTCGCCTCTGTCAGTGCGCCCCAGGGCAGCTGTGGCTACATCGTAGCTCATCCCCACCAGTGTGTGAATGTGTGTGTGTGAATGGGTGAATGACTGATTGTGTTGTAAAGCACCTTGGGGGGTTCCAGGACTCCAGAAGGCGCTATATCAAATACAGGCCAATTACCATGTTACCATTTCAGGGAGTATGGCCGGTGTCAGAGCTTGGTCCGCATTGCCGGCAGTAAGTCGGGCTCGTTCCCAGTGAGAGTTGGACTCCGCCAAGGCTGCCCTTTGCCACCGATTCTGTTCATAACCTTTATGGACAGGATTTCTAGGTGTAGCCAAGGTGTGGAGGGCATCCGTTTTGGTGGCCTGAGGATCAGGTCTCTGCTTTATGCAGATGATGTGGTTCTGTTGGCTTCATCAGAACGTGATCTTCAGCTTTTGCTGGAGCGGTTCACAGCCGAGTGTGAAGCAGCTGGGATGAGAATCAGCTCCTCTAAACCTGAGACCATGGTCTTGATTCGGAAAAGGGTAGAATGCCTTCTCCGGGTCAGGGATGAGGTCCTGCCCCAAGTGGAGGAGTTTAAGTATCTCGGGGTCTTGTTCACGAGTGAGGGAAAACTGGAGCGTGAGACCGATAGGTGGATTGGTGCTGCATATGCAGTGATGTGGGCGTTGTACCGGTCTGTCGTGGTGAAGAGAGAGCAGAGTCAGAAGGCGAAGCTCTCGATTTACCGGTGGATCTACGTTCCTACCCTCACCTATGGTCACGAGCTTTGGGTAGTGACCGCAGGAACGAGATCGCGGATACAAGCGGCCGAAATGAGTTTTCTCCGAAGAGTGGCTGGGCTCTCCCTTAGAGATAGGGTGAGAAGCTCAGTCATTCGGGAGGGGCTCGGAGTAGACCCGCTGCTCCTCCACATCGAGAGGAGCCAGTTGAGGTGGCTCGGGCATCTGGTCAGGATGCCTCCTGGACGCCTCCCTGGTAAAGTTTTCCAGGTACGTCCAACCGGGAGGAGACCTAAAGGTAGACCCAGGACACGGTGGAGGGACTATGTCTCTCACCTGGCCAGGGAACGTCTTGGGATTCCCCCGGAGGAGCTGGCCCAAGTGGCTGGGGAGAGGGAAGTCTGGGCCTCTCGCCTTAGGCTACTGCCCCCGCGACCCGACTCCGGAGAAGCGGATGAAAATGGATGGATGGCATTTCAGGGAGCGTATGTGTGCGTGCGTGCGTGCGTGCGTGCGTGCGTGCGTGTGCGTGTGTGTGTGTGTGTGTGTGTGTGTGTGTGTGTGTGTGTGTGTGTGTGTGTGTGTGTGTGTGTGTGTGTGTGTGGTAGATTCAGGAAATGTATGTAAAGACGGTCCTACCTCACCCTTAAGCAGGTGATGCATCACAAGGAGGATGAGGAGAGAACATGTTACAGCTAGCTACCGGACTACTTTTTGGTTTGGTTTGGTTTTTGAAAACGTTTTACTTCCTGTAAACGGTTTGTCGGTTCAGACACGCTTCTTTCTGCAATCGCCGTATGATGTGCACGATCCTGTCAGCTTGACTTGAGAAATCCCCTTGGATGGGAAGTGAAACGTCTTCGTGACTTAACCAGAAGTCCAAGCATCTTCATCGTGATCTGCCTCGTTTATGTTGATACACCAAACACAATCAGGAAACAGAGGCTTAAAGGGAACATTGACATGAAAATAATTATCGGCTGCCTTGGACAGATTTAAGAGATTGTACATAAATTGTTTGTTATGCAGATAAATACAAGTTATTTTATTTTAACATCTATTTTTGCTGCTTTTATTTGTTGTCTTATAAGTTGAGAAACATTTTATTTCTTCTTCACTTATAGATTTAATGACTTTTCATTATTTTTGCCAAAGTTATAAACTAAATCTTCTCTTCTGGCACTCGAGGAGTACAGACGCTTCCCTCTTTCGCTCCCTTATCTTTTTATCCCAAGGCTCTTTGTCCTGTCTGCCCTCAGAGCGCTTCTCTGCATTTCTTCTGAAAAACTCTATTTTTACTAACCATGGATTTGATAAACTGGTCATTCAATGCGATCGATAAGATTTTTTCAACAATGAGAACGGAGCAGGGGGCTCCCACATGTCCACAGGGGACACACCCGGTGGGATATATGCTGGATTCCTGGAAGGAGTGGAAGATCGTATGCCTCTCCCAGCTGTCCATTGAGGACATCGAAGACGTGTGGATATTTGGTCTGATGATCACTGGATTTCTCCTGATTGGAGTGGGAGGATATCTGGTTTTCAGGAAATTTGGGAAGACGGGAGCGATTGGAGGGCGACCCGCACCCACGGAAAGCACCGTCCGTGTGGAGACTTCTCAGACTGGGACGTTACTCGAGGTGAATCATAAGCTGGACAATGTTCTAGCTGCGATACCGGTACCTCGGAGAGTCACCGGACGGTATAAACAGGTTTAAAAACCCAAAATTGGCTTCACTGAAGGGCTGGAAATGATCGGTTTAAAGACTGAAGGCAGAGAGGAAAATTATCTCAGCCTGACCCAAACAAAGTCTTGTTATCTGAATCTGACGCCCTGGTAGCCTTGAGCTGCAAGCAACTAAAACCCCCACGAAGGAATGCAGACAGATGCTGTGAAAACCCGACCTAACACCCCCCCACCCCCCACCCCCACCCCCCGCGCCTGCCTTCGGATTGGCGGACTTCAACCTGGCGAGGCCATCAGCTGGAGGAGTCAATGTGCTCTTCGCTTCTCCCAAGATCTCCCTCACACCTGTGACTGTACTGTGGATGAGCGCCTTAGATGGCTGCTCTCGCTGGGGCAAACAGGATCCCAGCCCCGCCCTCCTATTGGAGTCTCATGTTGTGAACTGTTGATGTTCGTGCTTATTTATGTTTGAGGTGTTTTTTTGCAGAGCGAAGCTACGCCCTGTCGGGAGTAACTCTGGAATGCCTTTTTTCCCTCCCCCAATTTTTCCTCATGCAATCCCCTTTTCATCTAAATGAAATGAGCGCTGTTCATGGCTGCTCTCGTGGTCTGCCTGAATCTGTTTTGTCTACGTGTGTGTGTGTGTGTGTGTGTGTGTGTGTGTGTGTGTGTGTGTGTGTGTGTGTGTGTGTGTGTGTGTGTGTGTGTGTGTGTGTGTGTGTGTGTGTGTGTGTGTGTAACCTTGGTCAGGCTGTGCTGCAGAGTCACTGGAGCACTGCAATAAAGCTTTTCTGATTCCGATTCTCTTCTGATTCTTCTAAATAAGCGGACTCTTCCTGAGACTCGTCCTGCCCTAAGGTGTCTTTACTTTGTCTTTCTCGGTTAAAAACTTTATTCCTGTTTGCCTTTACGGATCAAACGACTGTTGCTGTAGATTGCAATGACTTTTTCCCATTTCAAATGATTTATAAAGATATGACAAAGTATGTTTTTGTGCAATGACTAAATACCCAGGAAGATCCTGTGAAGACTTTCTAATCATCTCTGAAACCAGACTGCAGAAGCCGTTTGTCCTGCCTGCTGACGATCCAGAGGAAAGAATGATGGAAAAATAAAAACTAAAAAAAGTCCTAAAACATCCAAACTGAACACATTTTCCTCTGGAAGAGTTCAGCATTTGTTTTATAAGCTTGTGATTTAGGTCACAGAGGAAAAATGGAGCTGATGCGTCTGGATGGACAAGAATAAAACTAGGAAGTGAAACTATTCATGGAAAGCCAGTAATGGTCATGATGGTGCCGCCTTCCAAAAGAGTTGTAATGTCATGTTCTGGGGGAGGCGTCTAACCCACGACATGTAGAATCAACCACTGACACAGAATGATGGGAAAAAAATAAGATTTTATTTAGGATAACGATAACTGAAAGTGCACTGGGAATTCCAGTGGTCAGGATGGGAATGCAGCGTCTGGAGGGGGAATCTGCAAGAGAGTAAAACAAAAGACTTTAAAATAATGTCTGAATATCTAACAAGTGGCTAATATGAAAACATCTCCATAAAATTCAAACAAAAAGAAGCTCTAACTTTACTACAGGCTGTAGAAACAACTCTGTCGACCTCTAGCTGAGAGAAAAACAAACTGCAGATATTAACAGTTGAATCAAAGCTCCAGACTGTCCACACACAGAGCAGTAGGGGCGGGGAAGAGGGTGAATCAGACTCAGACACACAGCAGAGAACATGAAAAGTCCAGAATAAGTTATACTTGGTGCTGGATGTTAATCTCAATGTAAAGTGACTTATTTTTTTCTTTTCACACACAGAGGGGGTGCACCGTTCCTGGAGATACTGCAATACCAGGTCGATGCGTGGAGTGGACGGAGCAAGCCCCTATTCCATCTCCCTGCTCCAAAAATCAATTTAATATATGGTCCCCGGAAAGGGGACGTATCAGATATTAAACTGATAAGAACAGATTTTTTTTTTTTTTTTTTTTTTTTTCAAAATTTATTCACACTTTTAACATTTACATTCTCTCTTCACCCATAGGTGAGAAAAAATAAAAAAAAAGGGGGGAACAAGAGGTATAACAAGGGTAGAAAGAAATGCAATGGCAATAATAAAAACATCCCAAACATCAAATTTTGTCACAGTAGCCATCTCTCTGGTCCCATTGTCCCATCACTCCCTCCACAAGTCGCAGGCCGATGGGGGGTGGGGTCAGGGGAAGCGACCCCACTGCACTCCTGGTCTCCGCCACCTCCTTTCCCCTTTTTCTTCACCTGCCTCAGCAGATGGGGAGGGCCTCTGGCCTCTTTTGCCAGTCTCCCTTTCATCGTCAGGCCGCTGCTGCCCTAATCTTTTTTCTCTGGACTCCAACTCCCTCCTCCGTTGGGTGCATGCGATTCTTCTTTGCGGCTGTGTTCTTGGCAGGCCGCCCTCTGACATTTTATTCTCCACTTGTCAGCTGCCATTCGAACGACAGCCGCGGGGGGGATCTGCATACGCCTCCTTACCCACAAGTTTCTGGAGGTCCATATGGCGTCTTTAAGGGCGGCTAAGGTGTGCCATTGGTCCAGACTTAGCTTTGCTGTCTTGCCAGTCTTGGAACACACACCGTACAGCACAGTCTGTGCCGTTAAGAACTCCCTTGCGGGTAAGTACGGGAATTTTAAGGAGCTGGCCGTTGTCCATAGATCCTGGGCAGCGCTGCACTCCCAGAGGAGGTGCCGTACCGACTCCGGTGCGCCACATCCGGGCCGGGGGCATACCGCCGTGGGTGCCATTCCTCTGGTATGCATCACGGCTCTGACTGGGAGAATACCATGTGCCGTCAACCATGATATGTCCTTTAGGCGGTTTGGCATTCCAGGGCGGATGATATTTTTCCAAACCTCCTCCGCCTCCTCCCCCATCAGCCCTGCGACCAGGACTGGTATATCTCGTGCCTGTACAACAGAGATCATTAGACGTTTACTTGATAAAATTTTCTCATTTTCGTTTTCTAACTTAAAATCGTTTAAGAACACCTGAATTTTCTTGTATGCACGTGGCATAATTAGAGCCATCGGTACTCTCAAATCTCTTTCTTTCATTTTCAGTTTTTGCAAGTAAAAGCCCATCCAATATTTTATCATTGCCATGTACTTTTCATTCTCTCCTTTTCCTAGTATCTGTCTCATATGTGTTGCAGTGTAATGTGCTCCCAGGGAGAGATATATATCTGGTACGTCTCTTCCTCCTTTTTTTATCGGCTTCTTCATTTCTGTTCTTCTTATCCTCTCCCATTTGGCTCCCCACACGAATCGCATGGTCAGCCTCTCCAGTTCGCCAATCGTTTTCCTGGAAGGGAAGAACACACTTGCTGCCAACTGGAGCAAGGGGATGATTACCGTCTTTATCACCAGAACCTTTCCTTCTATGGTCAACTCCCTCTGTTGCCATAGTCCTACTTTTTGTCGTACCTTTTTCAGAACAGCATTCCATGTCTCTGTCCCTTTTCCTTCTTCATCAAACCTTACCCCTAATATCTTTTGTCCCCCTTCCTTTACCTCTGTCTCTGTTTTATACTTACAACTCCCTTCTTCTGGTGTTTCACCATACCATCTCACCTGTGTTTTCTTCTTGTTTAGCTTTGCACCTGATGCCCTTCCGTATTTCTCTGTAACCATAAACATTTTTTCCAAAGACCTTTCGTTCATACACACCACATTTACATCGTCCATATACAATACACATTTCAGCTGTTGTCCTTTACTCCCTGGTATGTCTTGTCCTACAATATCTTTGTTTTCTCTGATCATTTGTACCAGGGGTTCTATACAGATCACATATAGGATTGCTGATAGAGGACACCCTTGCCTCACCCCTGACCTTATCTTTATTTCTTTTGTCAGGTCCCCATTTATGATACACTTACTTTTTATACTTTGGTACAATACTTTTATCCACTCTATACATCTTTCCGGGCAGCCTACTTTTTTTAACATTTTGAACATAAAAGTATGTGATATCCTATCAAAGGCCTTTTCAAAATCTAAATTTACCAACATCATGCGCGTCTTTCTTTCCCTTGCTAACTCTATATTATCCCTTATCATTATTAGTCCATCCGTAAGTCTTCGACCTTCTACTGCACATAGCTGGTCGGAGTGTATTATCTGGTCCAAGCCCATCTTCAGTCTTGTTGCTATACATCTGCTGAATAATTTCACGTCTGTATTCAGCAGTGTAATGGGCCTCCAATTCTTTAAATCTGTTTTGCCATTTCCCTTATAAATCAATGTTATTAGCCCACATTTAAAACTCTCAGGTAGCTCTTTTCTGTATTCAATATCCTGTATAGTTTCTACCAAATCTGGTCCTATCATTTCCCAAAATGTTCTATAAAATTCCACCGGTAGACCATCCTCTCCGGGGGATTTTCCACTTTGACATGTTTAAAAGAGTGTCCTTACTTTCATTTTCCAGATTAAAATGATAAGATGATAAGAACAGATACTACACTTGATCTTAGCCAAAAGGCCGAGAAGCGATACCACAATAGGACTGAGGACAGGACGCCGTTCCGCTCATTGTCATTCTGACTCACGGTTAAAAATACATCATTACATTTAAACTCATAACGAAACCAGAGACCACGTTAACGCCGTCGTAGCAGCGTTACGCGATCGAGACACGCCACGACGCTGTGCGGATGTAAACTGGATAAAAAGTTAAGCTGAGAGAAAAAAAAAAACCACAGCTTTGCTTCCGGGTCACGTGGCACACTTTGGTCCAATAAGAAACAAAACAGCCCAAAGCGGCAAAAATAATAAATTAATACAACTTTTCTTCACATTTATTTTAAAATAAGCTTCAAGCGTTTACTATGCAAACTATACTATTTATTATTAAGCACACTGAATTGCCCCGTGTTTGAAACGTGCTACATTAATAAAACTGCCTTGCCCATTCTCACGCAATCTATGAAATTTAATAAAGCTGTACTGGGCTTCATGTATAAACGCGCTGGGGGAAAGAAAATGTTATGTTTGGTTAAATAAAAATATTAAAATAAATACAAGGAACCGTATCGAAAAAAAAACTGTCCTAAATATTTTTTATGACGATGCATTTATCACCACTCCCACTCCAGCCAACTTTAGCTCCATTCAAACATTCCTCGCCTATTTATTTATTTTTATTGCCAATTTAACCACCTTTAAATTAAATAACCGTCCATCCAAGAAAACTTTAGCTAATTAAGCGAAGCTGGAATGCACCTGCAGGTTGTAAACCTAATTAAACTTAATTAGCCACTTATTTATTGATTCATACAGTTGCTTGAGTCATTCAAAAGTAAGAAAAGCACGTCAAACAATAAATAATTATTACAGTCCCTCACCTGCAACAGCGGCCTGTAGGCCTCGCCTGCAGACACCAGGCGCCATTTTACCTCCTCCATAAAATGATTTTGATAAGCAAAAGTAGTTAACGCTAGGTGTACCAACATGTCAACATGCTGGCTAATGTCTAAATAGAAAGTAGATCTAAACTTACTAATGTCGCGGTCTTCTGATAAGAGTCTGGGCCGTCGAAATTAACGCTGTCCTTTATTGTGCGCATGCGCAATCTATGTTGTGTATGTTCGCCATATGCAATCATGTAGCCCAAAATGGCTGACGTAACGAGTTTAAAAGTGGAGAAAAAACATCAACACGATAAAAAAAATATCTGGGAATAAACGTCACACTAATTCAAGTCAAGTCGCTCAACTAACTTGTGAGTCTCACAATCACAGCCAAAATGTGTCAAAGTTTAAATGAGGACATTTAAAGCAACTTTTATTAAGAATTAAATTTCTTCATTGAATAGTACAGAGACAATTTAAAAACATGATGATCTAGATCCTGAATGGAGATTATAGGGGACATCAGATTAATTGCGTCACTTTTTGGCAAATCACTTGGTAAATTGCTAAAAGCCAGGAAGTGAGGATGAGTTGTGTACTTGTTGCTAATATGATGTGTTTCCAGTATGCATGCCACACATAACTGAGGTTGTTCTGATCATTTTGGGACATGGTCACTGAGGAGCCTACCAGAAAGAAGGGTTATAGATACATAAAAAACAAACTTTAGGCAACAGGCACAGTTGCATCTTATGGCTGATATCTGCTGCAGGCCTCAGTTCCTGCAGTCCTGCCATACAGCACCAGAGGCCAGAACAGCTGCACCAAATCAGCAATCAGCTGCTCCTGAAGCCTTTTAAGCCTCCGCACTCCATTATTCAGGAGGCACAGTGACAGAGTTGACTATGATCTAGAGACTCTAGTAATCCCACTGTGATCTCCAGTACTAGGGTTTATGGTTAAAATTTTTGTGCCCCAGTTTGATTACGGTTACGGTTAATTTGTGCTTTTGCCACCCGTTTGTGAATCTCCAATCCTCAGTTTAGTTTGTCTTTGTGTTTAGCCTTTGAGGATTTTTAGTTGGGGAGATTTCTAGTTTTCTAGCTTTAATATTTGTGGGTCTTTAGGTTTTGGTAATTGATTAGGTTTATTATTTTAGTAACAATTTTGTGGTTGGTTTAGAATAGGCGCATTTCCCTTTTGGTCTCCTCTCTCTGGTTAAACCAAATTTGTTTGATACTGGTCAGTTCAGTTACGTCCAGTTAAACTACGTTTTCAATTCAGTGCAGGGAAAATAATATAAAATGTGTTTTTTGATTGACATTCTTGCCATTAGTTTTTTTCATAGACTAGTTTCCAACAAATAATTAAAAATACTTTTTAACCCCAAAGTCATTTCAATACGTCTGTTCTAATGAACTGATTTTAAAATATCAGAATTTTAAATTAGGATCCCCATTCAACAGGAAAGCAGGAAGCACTCAATTCATCAGCTACAGGGGCGCGTCTAAAAATAATTTTTAGGGTTTGGCCCCATGGGTGGCAAGCCTTTTTGTAAGGGGGAACATGCCCACCCTCTGGACATGCCCAGCTGTAAAAAAAAAAGGAAAACCTCTTTATTTACCAACCTGCTGCTAACTGAACCAAACCCAACACAAACAAAGTATTAAATGTTCAATCAACTTGAGATGGAAATTATTTGTAGAGCTGTTGGTTTGATTCCCAAAATCCAAATTAAATACAGTCTATGTGACACACACATATGCACACACAGTCAAAAAAACACACACATTATTGTTTTTGACTGTGTATTCTGTTCATCTGGACACAAGTTGGCAACGATAAATCTATCATAGTATTAGATAATAATAATCACAAAGTAATGACAACGGTTGACCATTTTTGACCGAGATTATTTAACCCAAAAGGAACAAAAGATTTGCAAATGAAAATGAAACTCCAACAAAATAAATGTGAAACGCAACTAGGGCAAAGTTTACATCTGGAAAAGAATTTGCTTTCTTACCTGCAAATGTACCATAAAAGAAAAAGAACACCACAACAAAATGCATTGTTGTGTTTTGGTAGAACTCATAGTTCGCAGCAGAACTTCTATGTAAGGGTGAGTCAAGGTCAAGGAAGTAACTAATTTACGAAATTCAAACCAGCGGGCGAAGGGGCGTGTCAAACTGAGGAAAAGGTAAAAGAAACACATTTCTGTGAAAAATCTGACACTGGATTGGTCTCAGATTATGATCACATTTAAACCCTTTTAGATTATCATCAACCTCGAAATAAATACACTGTAGCTTAATTTTACGGATAACAAGAGTTCCATCCATCCATCCATCCATCCATCCATTTTCATCCGCTTATCCGGAGTCGGGTCGCGGGGGCAGTAGCCTAAGGCGAGAGGCCCAGACTTCCCTCTCCCCAGCCATTTGGGCCAGCTCCTCCGGGGGAATCCCAAGACGTTCCCTGGCCAGGTGAGAGACACAGTCCCTCCACCGTGTCCTGGGTCTACCTTTAGGTCTCCTCCCGGTTGGACGTGCCCAGAAAACCTCACCAGGGAGGCGTCCAGGAGGCATCCTGACCAGATGCCCGAGCCACCTCAACTGGCTCCTCTGGATGTGGAGGAGCAGCGGGTCTACTCCGAGCCCCTCCCAAATGACCGAGCTTCTCACCCTATCTCTAAGGGGAGCCCAGACACTCTTCGGAGAAAACTCATTTTGGCCGCTTGTATCCGCAATCTCATTCTTTCGGTCTCTACCCAAAGCTCGTGACCATAGGTGAGGGTAGGAACGTAGATCCACCGTTAAATCGAGAGCTTCGCCTTCTGGCTCAGCTCTCTCTTCACCACGACAGACCGGTACAACGCCCGCATCACTGCAGATGCAGCACCAATCCGCCTATCGATCTCACGCTCCAGTTTTCCCTCACTTGTGAACAAGACCCTGAGATACGTAAACTCCTCCACATGGGGCAGGACCTCATCCCTGACCCGGAGAAGGCATTCTACCCTTTTCCGAATCAAGACCATGGTCTCAGATTTAGAGGAGCTGATTCTCATCCCAGCTGCTTTACACTCGGCTGCGAACCGCTCCAGCGAAAGCTGAAGATCACGTTCTGATGAGGCCAACAGGACCACATCATCTGCAAAAAGCAGAGACCTGATCCTCAGGCCACCAAAATGGATGCCCTACATTTGTGATAACAAGAGTTCACTAAAGAAAAATGTTTTTGCATTTTAAATGTTAGAATATCCCATTATCGGTGAAAACCTTAATGCTCTGATTTAAAACCAAGTAACAGAAGAGCCAGTCAAAATTATCTACATCCTTCAGTGAACTGAACCCTGCAGGTGAGCCGGAGGTGAGCATGTATTAATCTCGTTTTCATCTCGCGATACTTCCGTTAAATTCTATTGTCTTTTTGTGTCTTATCACACATAATAGTAGTCATTTCTAACGAGTCTAAAAGGAGTTCGGGATATTTAAATATAAGGATGTGTTAACTTGTTACACATCATTTAAACGGTTTTTTTATTCTAATCTGAACAGTGAACGCAGAGGAAAACAGATTAGGAATGGAACGCGACCCCGCGAGATTTGATGAGTTTGAGTGAATGCCACGTCTGACTAGAGGCATCAACGTTGGCACAAACTTCAGCACTTCACTTTGGTGGCACAACAACGTGTGACATCTGACACTGTCCGGTAGGCCTGAACCAGTAGCTTTAAATAGTGTTTTCTGCATTTTCCTGTGGTGTTTATGTCGTAGCAACAAGCTAACTCATTGGGAACTAGCTTGCTAGCTAGCAGGCTTTCTGGACAACTTAGAAGCAGAGCTCTGGTCTGTGTTTGATGTTCGGCTTTTGCTGTTTACTGTGAGATGAAAGTTGATTCTTTCCACTGAAAATCAAAGCGATTATCAGCTTTAGCTCAACGGATTTGTGACTCCGTCAGCAGATAAACACAAAGCTAGCATCAACAGAGTTACCGTTAACATAAGTAACATTAGCTCTGTGTACACGGCTGCTAGATCAGTTTTCTTCTGTTTTTATATAAAATGGGTAGAGTAATCTTATTAATTCAGTTATAAATGGGTTTAGAAACACAGACCTTTTGAATCGTGTTTGAAAATTGCTTAAACACGTTTGAATCAGATTTTCTTAGTTTTTAGGTGAGTTGGATAGTTTTAATACAGGAAATCAGGAGAATGTCAGATTAGAAGTAGAAAACTGGATGGATCCGCATCTCACTTTAATCTGGAGTCACGCGATGATCCCACTAAAATGAGCATTGTGTTTGTTACAAAAGATCTGTGTTGGACACATTCCAATTCAAACTATTATTGAGGTTTTCTAAATCTTAAACTTAAAGATGCTGGGTCATGATTTCATAAACTGTTTAAATAAAGAGTAATGAGTGTTTTCCTATCCGGTACAAATGCATAAGTCAACAGCAAATATGAGGCAAGCTGTTAACCTGAGATCCTTCTTCTTAAGCGTAATCAAACATGATGGGTGTGGCTGCATCAATAATGAGCCCCCTCACGCCAGCTCTGGTGGAAATACAGTAAATTACACACTCCACATGAAAGAAGAAAATAAATGGTTCCTACTATCCAAAAAGAGTAGAAATTCATTCTGTACCTAATGTTTCTTTAACTTCATCTCGTTTTCCTCTTTTGTTACAGATAGTAAAATGGGTTTTGTGCGTCTGCTACCACTGACACTAGCCACATCTGTATTACTGCTGTTAGCTTCTTATTCAGCCTCTGGTCACAGCCATTCCCACGGCGACGGACATGGGCACCATCACCATGGGCACCATCACCACAGTCACTCCCATGGAGAGGACGATCACCACGGACATGTAAAGATGTTCCATGGAGCGAGCAAGTGGAGCGCTGAGGCCAATCTGCCTCACCATGAGGATGAGCAGGATCACGGACACGCACATTCCCACAACCACGGACACGCTCACGACCACGGACACGCACATTCCCACGATCACGGACACGCACATTCCCACGACCACGGACACGCTCACGACCACGGACACGCACATTCCCACGACCACGGACACGCTCACGACCACGGACACTCGCACGGAGCCGAGAAAATGAGGAGAGACACAAATGGAGAGAAGAGGGACACGATGGAGCTCTGGACGCAGGTGTGATCGGTGTGAATAAATATCCATTTTGTTCTAGTGTTCAAATTACTGAGTCTGTTTACAATGTGACTGTTTATCTGGGAAATAGATTTATAAAGTTAAAGTCCCATTAGTTGTCACACACACTGATGTGTGTGCGAAATTTGTTCTTTGCATTTCACCCATCCCCTGGGGGAGCGGTGAGCTGCAGACAAGCCGCGCTCAGGAACCATTTGGTGGTTTAACCCCCCAATCCAACCCCTTAATGCTGAGTGTCAAGCAGGGAGGCATTGGGTCCCATTTTTTCAAAGTCTTTGGTATGACCCGACCAGGAATCGAACCCTGATCTCCCAGTCTCAGGGCGGACACTCTACCACTAGGCCACTGAGCTGATTATTTCTCATTTATTTTAAAATCTAAGCATGTTGACATAGTCAAACATTTTTGTGTCATCATCCAAGACGGATGAATCAATACCTGTTATTCCCCAATTTACTATTATTTATAAGTATTTTTAAATAATATACAAATATTTCAGATTAATAAAACGCTTTAGCCGCTTTAACGCTCAAAGAAAACAAATGTAATTGGAAACAAAACGCCACCATTTGTGTTCAGGATAAACTTGAGATGTTAAACCAGCTGTTATCACATGACCTACTTCCTGTTTGTGATGGAATTTCATTAAATGAGAAAAATCTTTTATACCAGGCACAAATGCAAAATGTTATAATTTTTATTAAAATATTAGATGTTTGACAAACACCTCAAAGCAAATCAGGTGTTGCTGCTAACGTGCTTCTATCAGAAGTTGGCTTTCTACGTTTTTATTTATTATAACATTTAGTTATTGATGCTGATCAATAAAATCACATTTAAACCTTTTTTTTTTCTTATATCATCGTTTCTACTTCCGGTTTGGCTTTGATGCTTTATGCTAGTTTCCTTTTCTCTGCTTGAAAGCATCACCGTAGTAAAAACGTCCTTCCATCGCTGTCTGCAGGCTATCGGAGCCACCCTGCTGATCAGCGCCGCTCCGTTCTTCATCCTGTTTCTGATCCCGGTTCAGTCCAACAGCGACCAGCACCAGAACCTGCTGAAGGTGCTGCTGAGTTTCGCCTCTGGCGGACTGCTGGGTGACGCCTTCCTCCACCTCATCCCTCACGCTCTGGGTAGAAACTTTGAAGGCTATTTATGCTGAATCTGTCTCAAACATTTGAAATGAAACAATAACAGAACTTTTAGTTTGTTTTCTTGAATGATTACGTTTGATTCCTCCTGGTGTGTTTTCCACACAGAACCCCACTCTCATCATGGAGATGAAGGCCACTCGCACGCTAGCGAGGAATCACACGGCCACGGTCACTCCCACGGTACGTAGATGCTTCACAACCAGACCATAAAAACACGGATCAGGATCCTAACCTGACCCTCTCCCTCCACAGGAGCCGCCCACGGTCACATGATGTCTGTAGGTCTGTGGGTTCTCGGTGGGATCATCGCCTTCCTGGCGGTTGAGAAGTTTGTCCGTCTGCTGAAGGGAGGACACAGTCACGGGCATTCTCACTCGCAAGGTACACACACTTTTTTCTGGAAAACTCCTTTTTTAAATAAATCTGATTCAAGTGTTTTTGTCCTAATTTCAGTGTTTAACAGTTAGAATCAACTTTGTGTAAAACTATGAAAAAACAAGGTTTTTATCATTTTGAACAATAATTTATAGTTAGCCCCCCCCCCCCCCCCAATACCTCACATGATCACATGACTACAAACACCTGCTCTCTATGGGATGTTTGGGTTTTTGTTTTGCTGCTGTGGCCCCCAGACTCTGGACCTCTCTCCCCCTGAGCCTGAGGTCAGTGGACTCAGTGGTCTCCTTTAAAAAGCAGCTGAAGACTCACTTGTTCAAGCTGGCTTTTGTTTGACCTTCTTCACCTCTCTCTTTACACCGAGGACACCGAAGCGCCGGGAGGCGAAGCACTCACGAAATTCGGCCGCTGCTCCTCAGTTCAGACCAGACGCTTGTTTCTCCGCTCCGGTCGAGGCGCGCCTCGTAGTTTCTTTTAACCACTTGGTGTCCTCCATTTCCTCTCCGCCTTTTCTCTGCTCTTTTCCTCGACACCCCCCTCCCCCTTGCTGTTTGTGTGTGTGTTTGTACGTGTGTGCGTGAACCAATGGTGTGAACCAGTTGTTAATAGCTGGCCTACGACTTTCTGCCGCTCTGTCCTGTTTGCTCTGGTTGAAAGACACCCAAAACCACACACCCTTCACGTGGACACACACACACACACACTCACACACACACACTCACACAAGTTCGCTGTGTGTGTGTGTGTGTTTGTGTGGTTTTTATGCAGTGTCTGTTTACGAACACATTTGACTATTGCGGAATTGTATTTTGAAATGCTTTATTTTGTTAAATTTACCGGCCTGCCTCTCATGTCTAGGTTTGACTTCCTGCCAGAATTGACGCGGTTCACCCGCGGCTCGCGAAAAAAATAGAGCAGACGCTGAAACGATTGCTGCACGGCGCGGGCTGGAACGCCGGCGCGCGGCGCTTCGGCGGCCCATGTGGTCTATAAAATAGGATAACCAGTCCCCGTTTCGCAGAGCTTCGGCGGCCGGTGTGTCCCCAACGTTATTCTGCTCTCCCCACCTATACCACCTTCCTCAGGATCCACTGATTTCCCTCTTTCCTATTCACTCTCTTTCTTAACATTCTTTTTAATCACAATTGTCTATTTTTTGCTCATTTTAAAAATATTTTAAACCATTTTCTAAATTCTTTTTTATATTTTTACATTTTTTGTTTTTGTGAAGCACCTCGTGATTTTTATCTTGAGAGGCGCTATAGAAATGATATTTTCTTCTTCTTCTTGTGTGGCCTCTAAAATAGCTTTAGAGGTGGCTTGCAATCTGTAATTAGGCCAGAAGATGTCGCTAAACTCAACACATCGAACTTGTTAGAGAGTCTTGTTAGGGACTTGTTAGAAATGAGTCTAATTTTCTGCTTTTATTCCATCAGCTGCTCCCAAGGAAAAGGACAGTGATGGAGAGAATGAGAAGGAAAAACAGAAGAAAGAAGAGAAAGGAAATAAAGTTGCAAAAGTGCCCAAAAAAGAGGAGAAAAAGAGCACAGGTGGGCGTGTTTATCGAACATGAAAGAGCTCCATCTACTGGTCAAACCATGAACTGCGTGTTTGTTTGGTGCAACTCGGTGGAAAACGGCTGAATGACCACATTTCTGTTTAATGCAGTTCGAGGAAAAAAAGTCTCTTTATTACGTAACAATCCTTTTTTTTGTGACTCAAGTTTTGTTTTGTTTCCTTTAAATCAGACATCAAGGTGTCTGGTTACCTGAACCTGGCAGCCGACTTCACACATAATTTCACAGATGGCTTGGCGATCGGCGCGTCATTTCTAGTCGGACCAGCAGTGGGCGCTGTCACCACCCTGACCATCCTGCTGCATGAGGTCCCTCATGAGATTGGAGACTTTGCCATCCTGGTGCAGTCGGGCTGCACCAAAAGGAAGGTAACCGACGCCTCTGGATGGAAGTTTCTGAAGAACTTTAAAAAAAACAAAACTTAAAAGACTTTTTTTTTTTTTAAGAAAAAATTTAAAACTCACCTCAAAGGATCCAAGTGAAGTGTTTCCCCATTCAACTTTTTCATGTAGGATTTGTTTCATTGAAAGTATTAAAGGGACTTTACGGACTTTTGAATTTTTATGCTCGTGATTGCCCCCTCAGGCCAAAAGCGTAACAGCAGCTTCAATAGTAGGCTCGTGCACGAGGCGCACATGCTGTACGTGCACACTCCTTAACGAAAATAACAGCTGAGACAGTCCCTTGTGTGTGTGTGTGTGTGTGTGGCCCGGAGGACAGAGGACAGGAGAACGTGCAGCTAATTAATTAAATAATTAGGTTCTGTACCTTTCTCTTCAGCACAGCCGACAAAGGTTTAAGATGGGTCAGTCCTCCTGCACGCTCAGATCATTCCCTTCCCTTGCTTGAAAAATTGTTCCAAAATGAAAGTTGAACCCACATCTTTTTTATCTGTGAATTCAATGCTGTTCGGCGAGTCTCAAAAAAAAATTTGGGCATCTTACTGTAAAAAAAAAATACCATTAATGTAAAAAAGAAACTCTAAATGAATTCTGTTCACATCCAGAATCAAACCCGGTTCTTCTGCATGAGAGTCAGACATCTTACAAAGTGCGCTACACTCTAGTAACATTCACAGTATCTAACTTTTATATCCTTGATGACAGCTGAAACAACGTCAAACCAAAGAACGGTTCGGAGCGAAAATGGCTATTTTGTTGCTAATTTGCAGGAAACATCTAGAAGAAAGTTCTACAGAAAGTAGCTAAGGGTCCTCAGAAATGTAGCTAGCTTTGTCACTAGGCGTTAGGAACAGCGACAAAGTGGCACTGCCTCTCTCTCTGCTGCTAAAGCTACGGATAGCAAATGCTACGGGCGATGCCTGAGCGTGAACGCGCATGAAGCAGCCTGCTCGACCCGAGCATCTCTCTTTTTCTGTGATTTTACAGAAAAACAGGCAATCACAGTAAAAATGCCAGGGCTCATTCTACAGGAGCAGGGCATTGCAGGAGAACGTATGAAGAAGACATTTATTATTTCTATACATGTTTTGGCTGTCAAACTTCCATAATGTCCCTTTAAAACATGCAAACTCTGTTGTAAAATACTAAAATACTAAAAAGTTTGTCAAACATGCTTGTTTGGGTAGATAAGTATTACTTTTATCTTTAATCTCGACACTTTAGCTTCTCACTAACGGTCTGCTGATTGCAGAATGATCCTAATTTAATATATTTCGGATTTTCTGTCATATTTTATCACTCAATGTGTAAAACTGTAGATTTAATAATTTAAGAATATAATTAATTTCACAAACAAAGAAAATAAGTATTTTTTTGTATTTAAACATGTTTATCAAACAATTAAAGGTGTAAAATTTTCTATTTGTGCAGAAAATTTATTAGAAATCTGTTTCCCTTATTTATAGACTTGATCCTTTTAAATTTAGCTAACAAAGTAAAATAAGTGTTAGCACCCGTGCTAATGTCGTTGTTCCTCTCCAGGCCATGTGTCTACAGCTGCTGACGGCTTTGGGAGCTCTGGCCGGGACCGCTTGCTCCCTACTGGCTGAAGGTGTGGGCGCCGCGGCGACCGCCTGGATCTTGCCCTTCACAGCCGGTGGGTTTGTTTACATCGCCACGGTGACGGTGCTCCCCGAGCTGCTGGCGGGCCGCTCCAGTTTTGGCCAGTCTCTGATGGAGATCCTGGCTCTGCTGTTTGGAGTCGGCATGATGGTTCTGATCGCAGAGTACGAGTGAGACGCAGCGGAGCGGACGGGAACGTTTACGGCACAAAACCAGGAGGAACTGACAGGGAAAAGACCGTTTTAGGTTAAACGTGGACTCTTTCTGTTTTTTATCCGTGTCTTTTTTTAGCTGTGTTTTGGAAACATTTAGCGTCTTTAATCGTTGACGTGCTTTTCCTCGTTTTGTTTATTTTTAGAAAAGTCAACTTTAATAAAAAGGTCTCCACGGTGATGTACGAGAGCTGGAATGTAAGAGAGAAAATATGGAGAGGGACCAAGAAACTGTTTGGAAAATGATTCCAAGATGGACGCCATTTTTCTCTCCTGAGTTCTCCTCGGTCACGTTAAAAGACGGAGCCGTCTCATGAGTTCTGATTGTCCACGTTTTCTACATTCCACCTAAATATAAAGCCATGACTTCTCTAAGTGGTCAAACGGCATCATTTACTGTTTTTTTACGCTCCTCAAAAATCCTTAGATCCTTCAAGCACGTCCAGCTGTTCTGAACGTCCACAATAAACATGGTGAAACCGTTAAACGAGCTGCTTGTGATCCACGATGTTTTCTCTTGACACAGCGATCAGCTGATTCTGGCTTAAAGCCGTGCGTATTTACTCTGAGTTAAAACCATTTGATCACGAAAAGAGCGTCCCAGATCCGACCTGCTGGGTGGAGGAATGATTTCCTGTGAAGAGCTGATTCTGATCTGATGAAGGACCTCTCCATCCATGAGGAGCGTCTCCACCAGGGTTTGTTTTAATGGGAATGCTGAAAATGCTTTTTTTTTTTTTTTACCTGTTTTACAGAAACGAGGAAGAAAATCACAAGTTCAAACATCAAAAAAATGTTTGGTTTGTTTCTTTGTAGAAACTTTTCCCAAGACCGACCCACGATGTGACCGGCCCGCTCTACCCGTACACGAGCTGTTGGATCATTCAGATGTTTTCCACCTGTTCTCTAGAAAACAGTTTAATTTATGTTTCTGATCTCTTATTCACATATTTTCTCCTCAGATGATTAATGATCTCTGATAAAAGTTGTTTTTCTTCTCAGAAATAAAATAATAAATTTCCTTTGATGATGCAAATGTGTTAAAACATGTTTACTGAACATTGAATCAAGATCCAGTCCAGGATTTTAATGGAGCCCGGCGATGATTGGGTGGGTTTGATTTGAATCTTTCAGCATTTGCATCAGGCGACGGCAGCTTCCCTCAGCCTCAGGTGTTCGTCTGCAGTTATTATTGGGCAGCAGTAGCTCAACAGGTAGAGCGGGTTTGATCCCGGCTCCGGACAGAATTCTGCTGTTGTGTCCTTGGGCAAGACGCTTAACCCACCTTGCCTGCTGGTGGTGGTCGGAGGGACCGGTGGCGCCTCTGTCAGTGCGCCCCGGGGCAGCTGTGGCTACATCGTAGCTCATCACCATCAGTGTGTGAATGGATGAATGATGCACTGTAGTGTAAAGCGCTTTGGAGTCCTTACTCTGAGAGGCGCTGTACAAGTGCGGGTCATTTATCATTAGAAACTGAAACGATGAAAAGGAAAGCGCCAATAATTTATGGTTTCTAGTTAAATCGAAATGTTCTGCAGAAGAAAAAGGAATTTATTCTCTGCAGTGTGAAGAAAACCAAACAAGTTTTATTAGTGGCTGGTTCATCAAGCTCCGTTGACCCGCTAATCACCTGCTGATTAAAACCAGGTGAGTTGAAGCAGGAAAACAACTAAAACATGCAGGATGGCGGCCTTCGAGGGACCAGGGTGCCCCACCCCTGATCTAGAGAAGAGCTGCGATGGCAGAAAAGTTTAAGCTTTAATATTCCTGCAGGATCATATTTTTCTGCTCTGATTCTGGCGTCTAACTTTATTTTGGTGTCGTCTTAATGGATGAAAAACGAGCAGGAAATAACTTTATTTTTGATGAGAAGGAAAATCAGTTTGCTGCTTTGTTAGTTAGAGTTAAGGTTAGGTAGAGTTAAGGGTCTGCGCTGCTTGTGTTCTCAATAAAGAGATCTGACCACAGGAACAAGCATCAGCCTCAACTTGTGTTACACTCGTGACCTGTGTCACCTGTTAAAACGACCGAGTTGTTAAGACTGGTGTCCTTTGTAATTTTCCCTGAATAGGTGGCCCACATGACCAGAACACATAAAAATATGCAACATCTGATGTTTCAAAAGCTATACCACCTCAACAATAATAACAATTTATGACATTGAATCCACATAAACATGCTGAACACAAGTCTTGTTAACAACAGAAACACAATTCATTCTTACTCCCTGGCTTTGTAGAGTTTAACAAGTGATTTGCCAAAAAGTTTGATTGATCAGCGTTTGGCTGCTGCACACCAGTTAACCTAGCTGTGATCATGAGGCCCACATGTTGGCAAGGCGGCTAACTTTTACAGGAGTCTTGGAGTGACATTTTCTTTTTCGCTCATCTAAAAGGTTCATCTAAAACGGGTCTGGTTGCGCTGTAGCTACTGGGAGTGTGTCCAGTTGCCAATGTGTTGGGCAGATTAGCTTTTTTTCATCGTGAGAAATTGGGGTGTGGCATCACGTGAAAGCGCATGAAGTCAGCCCTGAGTTAGTTATATTAAAATTAAAGAATGAAATTGACTTGAATTATCGGTGTGACGTTTACTTTCAAATTAATTAAATATGTTTATTTTAGTTTTTTTCAGATTTTAAATATTGTTTGCAATGTGGTCAAAAAAGGTTATTAAGTTTGCGCATGCGCATATTACGGAAGCGTATTACCGTAATTGCGGGGTAAAAAAAACTCAGGACCATTATCTCGTAATCACTAGAAGTGTTTTCGTTAAAACGTGATATAAATATCGTTTTAACGTCAAAGTTTCTCGTTATTACGAGATACTTTCTAGTTAAAATTAGAAACTCGTGATTACGAGATAATGGTCCTGAGTTTTTTTTTTTTTTTTTACCCCGCCATGACGGTAATACGCTTCCGTACCGTTGTTCCGTACTTATAACAACGGCGCTCATTTCGACGGGCTAGACTCCACGTGAAGAACACGACATTAGTAAGTTTATAACGACTTTATTTCATGACTTTTCCTGTTTTGCAGTAGCGTTAACGTTTAATAATCTGTCAATGCTTTTTACAATTATTCTAACGAAGAGGGACAAAAGTTATTTTGTTCAAGGCGCCGTGCTGTCTGCAGGTGAGGTGAGGCTATGCTAGGCCGCAGCTGCGGGTGGAGACACTTAAAAAAACGTTACGTCCCGTTTTTACTTCTGAACGACTTAACTAACCGCAGGAAATAAGAAATAAGTGGTGAAATAAGTTTAAATAGGTTTATTCACGTAGGGCGTCCCAGGGCCGGAGTGGGACACATTTTCAGCCCTGGAGTTTCAGACCCCAGACCGGCCCACTTAACGAATTATTATTAAAATCATGTTAGAACTTTATATGTATAGTCTACAAAAGCACACTACTCGGTAAAGCCTTGTAATTGTAAAGCAAGAAAGAGTTGAAAGAGTTGAGTTGCTTTACAAGAAAGAGCAACTCTTTCTTGTAAAGCAAGAAAGAGATGCTTTACAATGTAGGTTTATTTGAACATCAGTGCACATCTCCAACATTGTTCTTTACAACACATTCTCTAACAATATAACAATCTACATTCTGTTCAAACAGCTGTTCTGAGATTTTCAAACCTTTAAAATGAAATGACTCAGCACTCCCTTTCACACTTATCCAGTTTCCCTAGACTCACCTGCACACAATTAAAATAATCATCTGTAAAGCTTTAGCACATTTGATATGGAAAACACATCTTTGTAACCAATTAAAATATTTTCTATGGCAAAATATGCAGGCTTATTTAATTTTACTTTCATTCTAATAGCGATCTGTTGTGGGCTTTGTGCATTTACTAACAGAAATACAACAGGTCACTACTATTATTTGGACATTAAAATTATTATAATGAAACTAATGTTTGCTTGTTTGCACATGAGTTGGCTCACCTTCTATCCCAACAGGAGCAATACCCTCACTGCTGGCTCCTGGCTCTTCTTCTGACACTACATTGTGTGAAAATGGTCACAATTCAGCATTCATTTTCCTTTTTTACACGCTTTCTGATCAATGCTGAATCATCTAGCATTTTAGGACACTTTCATATAGAGCCAGGATAGTTTTCATCATATAAATTTTAATAATATTCAGTTCACTGACTCAATAAGTAATCCTACCTGTACATGCCCGCTCTGGAATTGTGGGTTTCTGCCTGGTGCTTATTAGGCCTACTGGATCTTGTGTTTGACTCTGACAAGACAGTTTGGTGGCATCAGTCACATCATACTGTAAATTATATTACATAACGTTATGTCATGATGCCATATAATTCATTATTGATGCTTAATTAACTTGAATGGTGATTTGCAGCCGGTAAAGTTTAACATCTTGACTTGCCTTACCCGTTTTATCTTCATTTGAAGTTAAAGACCGCGAGCTTGTTTGAGAAAAAAAGGTGCTCATTTTTGCACATTTAGCTGCATCCAGGGCCAGATTAACACTTTGTTGTACCCTGGGCAACAATATTCAAGGGCTCCATCATCACGACCCAAGGATCACCATAATATGGTCACATACAGAATATTTTACTGTAATATGCAGTAAATATACTCAATGCTTGAATGCCTGACATCACGTAACCCGCTCAGGGTAACCTTTGACCCACCTTGTGTGGACTGACCAATGAGGAGAGGGTCTTAACTTGAGGCCCTCTCTTCATTGGTCAGTCTGCATGAGACTGACTCTCAACTGACGTTTAGTCATAGGCAGCGAAGCGTCTGTGCAGCGCAAAAGCCCGGGTGGACAGTTTGTTTAGTACAGGGTGATCATATTTCCATTTCCAAACAAGAGGACAGGGGATCTGTGCCTATGACGTCACACTATGGCAACACCACACAAACCACGTTGGGACCCATTTTTTTGTAAGAACGAAATTAATATCAGATTCTGCCAATAAAAGGGCTCTAAAACAATTCATATGTAAATATTTAGCATATGTATTGCAAAATCTCATTTTTCTGCTTTAGTGCTGCAACAAGGTTTTATTAATAATAAATTATTATACCTTTTGTTTTACTTCAGCATTGGTAAGCTTCCTGTGCACAGATTATTAAGGGTGCTTGTTTCAGCTGTGAGATTAGACGATAGGATCAATGATAAAATAAGTTGTCACACACTCCATGGAAACTTTCAGAGAATCCACAAATAGTGGCTTTCAAACGGTTTTGTTTCTTTTTGCAAGTTTAGAAAAGAAGCAGATGAGACAGCATGTCTGATAATTTAGTTTTTCATCTGATAATATTAGAACATGTCAGTAATGTCTGAGGAGCTTTTATAAACACTGTATAACTAACAATACTGGAGAGGGTATGAATTACACAGAGGCTTCTGGGGAGCCCAGTTATGGGGTGGGTGGGGGGGGGTCATTTTGCCTTGGCCCCCAAAATGTCTTGAAACGGCCCTGGGTGTGTGACTGAGTTTTGAAGGTGATCTGAATTGTATC